CAGCAAGAAACGAATATCGTTGAACTTCGTACCTTGGTATCCTTGACCAACAAGACAAAGTATGACATGTTCCTTGTAATCAGGAACGAAGAACGATAGAAGTTTATGGACGGCGTATAGCAAAAGCGCTATTTGCCACATTTTGTATGAAGACGTGTTTTTCACTAGACTGTCATTTATCTAATTTTCACTTCTAATGAAATCGAACGTTAATCAACTCATTCCCATTATGACGTCACTGTGCGCGCGACTTCATTAAGTAATCAAGCCCAGGCTCTTGGAATCTTAAAAATAAAAAATCTTTCTTTTCGCATGTAGAAAGCTCTCTTTATTTTCCACTGCATAACGTTTTTTTTTTTTAAACAAGAAAAACCCAATTGTGTTAGTGAGACGCCGTTTTTCGACCTGTTTCACTAGAATACTCACTTGGGCTTCCTGTGTTCCAATTTATTTAGTACTCAGGCCCCGTTGATATTTTAAGAGAGAGTCTGAGTTCGATAAAGAAATGACAAAATGGCGCCTGGGACCATGAATCAGGTAAGCGAAAAATCTTGGACAAAATCTCTCATTTTTACCTTATTTTCTAAACAAAACAGCTAAGTTATTGCAAGAATAACATATCTAAAGTATTCCAAATTCATCGTCTTTGAAACTTCAGTGTCTTAGGGGTAAATATAGCGTTTATTAGCGATGAAAAACTACGTACTTGTTTATTTACGTAGTTGTTGCTAAGCTGCTTGGACCAGCATCGTACGATCGCAATCGATGTATTTATCTATTGTGAACTTAAGTTTTATTCGTCATTAAAATTAAGATAATTTGTCCTTGAAATTATATTTTCGTTTTGGGGAAGAGAACTTGAGTTTCTGACCGTTGCAGAAGAAACCTCATCGAGAAAACACAACTAACTTAACTTTCAGAATTTTAAAAATCCCCAAAAATAATTGAATAATTAAATTTTTGTTATTAYATTTTGCGAATTTGAAAAGCAGTATGATTCTTCTATTGGCTTTAAACATATAAATTTATACAGTCACAAAACCACACAAAAAAATAATGTATAATTATCATTTATATCTTAGGAAACAAGTGATAATCAACAACAAAGCAATACTATAGTTTTTGATACATCCAAGGCAGAACTTTTCAACCCAAACAATGGATTCAAGTCACTCGCAAGAAAACTACGCTCAAACTGGAAAATTATAATGTAAGATAAATTCAAACATGTACCCCCTGCACCTCCCCCTCCCCCTCCCACCAACCCTACCAAGGACATTCAGTTTAATAGTGTTGAAGATACTCCAAGTATCCACCAATAAATTAGGCTTTCTCACGTCCCTCCTCTAACCTGTTTATGGAGAACATCATTGAAGAGCCATGGAACTATTTTTGTAAGTAGGGGCTTGTCTCCTGGTTATATACCCTACCACAATTGGAGGAATAATGTGCAAATACAATCTGTAATAAGCTGTGCTGCTGTCAGTGCTGCAGCCATACCAGAATGATCACTGAAAATGAATTTTAAAGTGCTAGTCTTACAAAAATATTAATGATGCAAAAAAAAATCCCCGATTTTGTATATGCTCAAATAGGTTATAATGTTTACCAATAAGCAATAATTGGTTCGAAAAAGAAACTTTTCCCGTCTGAATTCTACTTCCGAAAATTGTTAAAACCTCGTCCGCCATTTCTATGAGCAGCGATTTTGTAGTTGCATTTTAATTTATGTGTGACGTCATATGAGCAACTGGCATCCTTTTTATCCACACTGACTTTACAGCATTCTCTGTAAGAAGGCATGACTTGGATTAAGGCTTGTTTTTAAATCAAAAATAGTCGAAATTTAGTTGCAATTACACACTGTGAAAAGCCACAAATTTTGAAGGTTTGCACGTATGATGTCACTTCCTTCGCATTTATTGGGATACATGTGAACTACACATTATATGCATTTCTRTCATATCATACCATTGGTAATATTCTTCATTGTCTTCATTATAAAAATTATTATTTTAATTACTTTCCATCTTTTTTCTTTAACAGCAATAAAGATGAACTATCCCTTGAAAAGATTGTAACAGCTAAGGTGCTTGTCTTTGGAGGGCCAAGGAAAAAGTTTACATCTGTCGAGGTAAGTATATGAACATATATTTTAAAAGACTCACCCCTTAGTGAATATCCTCCTGCATGTTGTGTAATTTTTTTTTTAGAATGTTGGTTTTTATTCATTTGAAATATAAATATGGTAGCAAGGATGTGACCCTCATGTTTCAACATTCCAAACAGGAAACTAAATGTTTAGGATTCTTCAAAACTTGTGTAGAAGGCTTGACGAGGGCCTGTTTACCATGCCAGGGTTATATTTTTACAAGATGGTGCACTAACAGGGCATTTAAAACCAATTTCTTATTATAGGAAGATTGTTGGGACCTTTTGTTATTTATCATTACTGAAATAAAAAATGCTGTCGGTTGGAAATCTGTGATCCTAGAAAATTCTAAAAGCAAGTGTATAGTGTATTGGATAAACTATTTTTGAATATACTTATAAGATAGGTATTTATACATAATTGTAAATTTTCACTTTTAACAGAAATAGGGCYAATATAAATAAATAAAGTTATTATTATTATACACCTATTCCTTGTTCTATTATTTTCTCAGTTTGATGTGATCAAGCAGTACATTGAAGGTGGTGGCAATGTGCTGGTGTTAATGGGAGAAGGTGGAGAAACGAGATTTGATACAAATATTAATTTCTTACTGGAAGATTATGGAATCATGGTTAATAATGGTAGGCACGACTATATCAACTACATTATACCATGGTACAGTAGAGTGTAAACCATATATCTGTGAAAAATGTGTAGCACAAAAACTACTTAATCTGCAAAATAGCACAAAAGCTAAATAGCACTTAGTAACATATTTCCATATATCTGCGAAATAGCACTAGATGCATATATTTCTTTTGTTTTCATCTGTTTTATTGGTGCTATTTTATACTAATAAGTTAGTTTTATTTCATGGATATATGCTTTGCACTCTAGTAGACTGCTACAAGCAAACCCAAATTTCAATGTGAATTTGTAACTGAATAAGTTTTAAAAAAATGAAAATAAATGTTTTGTTTTTCCCAGACTCAGTTGTAAGAACCGTCTACTACAAGTACTTCCATCCCAAAGAGACACTTGTATCAAATGGAGTTTTAAACAGGTTTGTTTAGTCACGATTTTATATTCTTCTTTCTTCCATTTCTCTTCCTTTCTCTTCCTTCCCTTCTTTTTGTTCCTTCTCTTCTTGCTTTAGTCCTACCTTATTGTTTGCCATAATCCTCCTCCCAACATTCTGCCTCTAGAATTGCTTGCTTATTTTGTTGTTTGTTTGTTTGTTTTAATGATCAGAGAAATAAACAGAGCTGCTGGTAAATATGTTCCAGGATCATCGGATGCAGATTCATCTGAATTTGGAAAGTAAGTCATGCCTATATAGCGGCTCCAAAGACCCTGTAATTACTGTACAGTAATATATGAAGTTTATGCATCCCATCCTTATCGATAAATTCCATTATTTTGTTTCTAGGTCTGTGTCATTTGTCTACGCTTATGGTGCAACGCTGAATGTCGTCAAACCTGCTGTAGCTGTATTGTCTACTGGCAGTGTTTCTTTTCCTCTGAACAGACCTATCTGTGGGTTCCATTCTTCAAAGGTTGGTTATTAGTAGAACAATACTTCTAAATTTACAACGATAAAACATTATATTAGCGGAATGACATTATACTTGTAAACCACTGAAGAATTGCACTTCAAGTTATCCATTGAACAGTAGAAACTTGTAGATAAATTGGATCACCGTGAAAAGCTTTGTGAAACTGACGTTTCGGATGTTAGTCCTTCATCAGAGTTAGTTAGTTCCGACGAAGGACTAACGTCCGAAACGTCAGTTTCACAAAGCTTTTCACGGTAATCCAATTTATCTACAAGTTCCTACTGTTATATTCAGAAACACCGACGCAGTCCACGCTAGTTCTACTAGTTATCACCACTTATTCATTGAACAAATGTCTATTATATTTACATACATATCATATCCATATCAGCGCTTCACTGACATGTAAATATAATGGACAAAGAAAAGTATTCCCAGTTGATTTGAATTGGGTAAAACATTGTGCCATGAAAAGTAAGTTTTCAAGCAATGTGATTGGTATTGCATATCCCTTGCCATTTCATGGCCATGTTTGTGCTGTGAGCTTTTCATTAGTCCTMTGCAACCTGAAAATAAGCACTGTGTGTATTTGCTCTCCAGTAGCAAATCTGCACTGGATACATGTAGTAGCAAATACAAACGTGCGAACTTTGCTAATGTAGCAAATACACACTTGCTCTCAGAGCATTGAATGCGGCAATGAATGTACACTGTATTTTTGTATCTATTTTACCTCTATTGCTTGCAGTATTCAAGAGGCAAGCTAGCAGTACTTGGATCAGTTCACATGTTTAGTGATCAGTATCTTGACAAAGAAGAAAATGCCAAAATCCAGGTAAGCTATCAAATGTTTGTGTTTTTGCTGCAGTCCAACCACATGTTCGGTTGACTGCATCATCATTGCAATGTACAGTGGATTCCCTTTATTGCAAATCTCCTGGGGTTCAAAATAACAGGAATGCCACTGTATTGCATTAATTGCAGTTTTCTTTCAAAAGATCAATAATTACTTGCTAATCTTTCATGATATTTTGTTTGTCTTAAGGATGTATTGTTCCAGTGGTTAACTACTAATGATCTACAGCTGAACAGCATTGATGCTGAAGACCCTGAAGTAAGTACCCAGTTGAATGCAATGACAAAACATTGCAAAAGCAATACAATGSAAGATTGGCAATCTGGTTTCACACATTAACATCTGAAAATTAATAGAGCAATGATTTTGAACCTTGATTTCAATAAACTGCAAATGTAACATTGATTATTAATTTTAATCTTTTCGTTAGATCTCCGACTACCACTATATCCCAGATACCTCAAATCTTGCTGAACGACTCAGAGTTTGCTTACAAGAAGGAGATGAGGTAAAATCTGTTAAGAAATTAATATGTGTTCCATTAATTTAGTTTTTCAATTCTTGAAATGCACTTTACAATTGATTAATAAATTCAAAACAAATTAGAATTGATGAGAGATGTTATGTGAGGGAGGAGGGGTAAGTAGTAGAAAAGGGTATGGTTATAGTTTTATTATCATGCCCGGGTAGGAGACTAGATGGATCTATATGTACTGTATTTTGCTGTTTTTTTAGCCACTTTTCAATGCAATATCTGGTTAGAGAAAATTTTTATACCCCACCATGGATGGAGGAAATTTGAAAAAAAGTCCCCCACTCCTTTGGGATTTTCCATTTTCTTCCATACAAACACTGTAATTTTGTTCTTCCTCCCACCCCCTGGGAATTTCCAATTTCCACCATGGTGGAGTATAGGTATTTTTCTGGAGTCATACAATCATCAATTAAGGTATTGCCATTATTACTTTTAAGTGCATTGTTTTTCATTGTTTCTTTTGTATCCTAGATTCCTCGTGATTTCTCAAAGATGTTTGATAACGAACTGTACAAGCTGGACACCAGTGTAGTACCTGATGTGATTAAGTAAGTAAGGCAGTAGCATCTTGAAAGGATAGCTGTGCCTTTGCATCAAAACAAGATGAACGTTGAGCTTGCAATGATATGTGAATAAGAGACATGTGAATAATTGTCCAAGGTGTTTAACAAAAGCCTCTATCATTGCAAGTTCGCCTTTCATCTTGCTTCAAAGCAAAGGCTTAGCTACCTTTCAATATGGCAAGAGAACTGTAAAGGGGATCGTTTTGTACTTCCATTGCAAGCTCACCATTCGTCTTGCATGAATGAATGTCACTGTTACTTTTCAATATGGCAAGGGAACTGTGAAGAGGGCTGTATTGTACTTTCATGTATAACTATTGCTGTTTATAATAATCATTAAGATTACAATACCTGGACTTTATCGTCAAGATATCTAGTATCTTGATATTTCTTGACTTCTCTAGATCTTTTGAAGAACTGCATGTGAAACACGAGCCTTTACAACTCATCACCCCACAGTTTGAAACTCCTCTACCACCGCTACAACCTGCTGTAAGTA